GAAAACTGGATACGGCAGTGAAGTCATGTGATTTCAACGCCAATTAAACAGTCCACCCTAGAATGGTCCAACTAGACTGAAAAGTCCTTCTATGTCGGTGTTGCATTCTGGCTGCTAGATAAATTCTGAGATGTGTATCAATGCAACAGCGGAAAATACCATCAATTAAGAGCACTTTTACTTCATAAAACCTATTCATTTCTTCGAAAAGGTGAAAAGTCCTGCTTATTTTGCACTTCATGGCAAAGTGGAAAATCGTCAACAAAAACTCTGGTAAGTAGCATATTTGAAAAAAAAACAATAAATAAGGTCTGCGAAGAGTGGACACTGGGATCAAAGACAAGTGGCACAACTTGCCACCTGGTGCACAGGGAGGCACGCCAAGTGAGGGCATAAGCGCCTTTACCACAATGGTGGTGGCCTCTGCACACACTCAAGCAATCATTTTAGCGTAGAATAAATTTTATTCTATCATTGCGTGACAAAAATGGACTGTTTTGGGTTGTACTTATTGAAGTCGTTAAAATACCTTAAACAAATCATATAGATTACGTTCATTGTAACTGAATTTGCAGGGTCATATCTCGGAAGAGGATTTGTGGCGTCATCTCGGAAAGGAGGTAACACCCCATGAGATTGCTCCGCCAGATTTGGTAGCAACACCATCCTCCTACACCAATGGCAACAAATTATGAGCGCAAATAATTGTAAAAGTTTAATCCGAAGTACGTTCAATAAAATTTTTCTTTTCAAATACCACATCGTGACTGACACCAGAAAAAATGAGCCACACTTAAACTGAGACTACCCATTACTGATTGGCTTGAGTACTTTCTTCGGTGATGAAATAAGCAGGAAACAAAGGCTGTTTGAGAACAGTGATCACTATCGTTGAGAGCGTACACGGAGTGCCCCGGCACACCCGAATGCGCGACGCCGGCGTGCGACTTTTTATCATATCTGATGTACCACTACACATTATCCAATTACCAAGTCAACACGCGTGTTTGTGTTTGCTTATGCCTCTCGCCAGTGGCTCCAAAATGGGACCTCCAGCCACGAGAACTGCTATAGGAAAGGGAAAGACGATGGGGGAGGTGTGGAGCGGGGCACATATTTTAGCCACGGGTCTGCTTAAGCAAATCGCAACAAAAACAAATGCTAGTGCAATGAGAATTAAAGGTAATGGGAAAATCGTAGATTTAGATGACAAAGTGCATTTGAAAGACTGTGCAAAGGGCAGTATAAGTGATGCTTGGTTTATGACAATTCGAAAAGGTAAAGTGATTTGAACTAATCTAGACATCCAATGAACCCTTGATTGGTCAAATGAAAATGCTTTTGAACGTTCCACTAGCAAAATATACCCTCTAAAAGCACTTTCACTCACTTTTATGCTTATGAAGGCAAATATTCTAACTTAATTATTGCATAGGTGATTGAAATCGCTCTACACAAATTCACGATATTTCTCCTTTACGACTATATTCGTGACACTCCCCCACCTCTTCTCTCGTTAAGGGGCTAATATTCCACCATGAAGTCTCTACGTAGCTGCGAATCCATCGCTAAGCATGAAAAAATCCAACTATCCACTAAGGTGGAGTGCAGTGCCAATTATATTTTGCAAAAATCAAACATTGCAAATAAATCACTAAAAGTTTGCACACACAAATTGGTGTTCCTTTTGCAGCCTTTGAGGCAGTACATATCGCACTTACGATGCGCTAACTGATTGCGAGAAGACCAATTTCAAAGTATACGCCTTGGAGAACATCCCAGGGCACTTTGCACTGATTAGGCATAAATATGTATTCCATACTATTCTTAACATACCTTCCTACCATTGGACGCCTAGGTGAACCCATTTACCACAGGAAAGCGGATGTGGAACATCATTAAGGCTTTGATTTCATTCAGAACGGTCGGAAGACTACGAGCAGTCAGCGCGAGGGAATGTAAAACAGGTGTGTGTGTGTGTGGAGGAGGAGGAGGATGAAGGATGGGCAGTTAATGCCATTACTAATGCTGACGTATCGTATTTCCCACAGGGGGGAAGCGCATACAGATTCCCCCAAGAGTCCTCCTCCCTCACGTCGTCGCGGTCATCAAAGGGGGCGTCATGACCGATTCACCCTGTCCAGCGTTAATATTTCCAATCGCGTACATTAAAGAGTGCAGTTGGATTTTATGAGCGAAGGCGAAAAGCAACTCTTAAACGCACTGAGAATAATTTTACTCGACAAAATACCTTTTCTTTCCCACCCATGCTGCATCATCTCCAGGTCGCATTAAGCATTTGATTTCCTCTATGCATTGAAGTGTGCTGCTCTATCGCCCACAGAGTGAATGAACTTTAGATCTTGTTATTGAGATATTTCCAGAATACCATACCTGACGAGTTACCAGAACGAGGGAAAAATCGAAAAAGTAACTTAAGGTAGCTGAAGAAGAACATGGGATATAGTTGGTAACAATTCCGAGATTTACAACAGCAGGCCTACAAAATCACTAAAACATACCGAAGGAGTCATGGGATCCGTGACATTAAAAATGGCCTTAAAATTCCGCAGCTTGTTACCTGCCTTTTACAAACAAGCCAACAAGGAGGCAAATAGACAAACGAAAGGCTCACCGGTAGTGGAATAAAAATGCATGAACTTTTTGACCGCTCCTTGGCAACTTCCTGCGCCAATGATGCATAAAAACCACCTACTTAATTCAGTAGGTCATTGTCTTTGGACATACGATTGTTTGTGCAGCCCTTAATGCTGTTGCTTCTTCTGCTACTGTCCGGTGGGGGCGTGGGAGAGGTAGAGAGGGAGCGATGGGCTTCCAAAGGAATCCGGAAGAGGAATAATATGGGAGGTGTACGTAAAAGGGCTCATTTCCATTCAGTAGTACAAAGAGAAGAGGATAGAAGCGAAGGCAGGGATCAAAAGTGAAGTAAAAGGAGGCGAGAGCACACAGAGCTCATTATGATTAATGGACGGAGATCAGTCAGTGTCCCTCTCCCTCCTCTTCCTCTCTTTTCCTTTGGATGTGGGAAAGTATGAAATAAATGGAGGACCAGGAGAAATGGCAGCGGTGCCAGTGTTTACGGCACTACCGTTTCTTGCCGAAGAAAAAAATAAAACTTGATACCTTATAAAATCGCTGCATCTGAAGATGACTCTCAATTGGACAACATGATGTGATCTTTACAAATAGATCTTATCAAAGAGTTTGAAGTTGGCGATTGATGAGAGGAGAGAGAGGAAATTTCCACAAAGCACAAGTGACAAGCGTTCAATTTCCACCACCCTAGTGGCTGAGCAGAGGCCACCAATCTCCATGGGGGAAAAATATTCCGGTCCCCCATAAACTTTGATAACCTCTAAGCCTTCCTCATATAGTGCTTAAATATAAGACATCCTCCTCTATCAATCCTCTCATTCCAGAAATCTGGAGCCGAGGATAGAAGAGAGAAGTACCGAATCTATCCCAATTACATTGTATCCCAAAGGTGGTGGAAAATAATCAAGAAACAAAAAATTCAAGGACACAACTCACTCGTTTTTAAATTAAATACGAACTTAATTAAAATTCCTGACTTCATAGTTAATGTAAGCTGATTCTGCAGAGAGAGTTTAGATTAGCATTGCGTAGAAACGGTTATGAAAACAATGAAAACGAGATAGGTTGGGATAGTAAGCTCATCACATTGTTACAGTGACGCAATGACACAAATCGAATCGACTATCTGTCGGCGCAACTTTTGCTGATTTATTCCCTAAAACTGTTGACATTATTCCACGTTTAGGATCTTTGGATAAATTGCAGACTTTTCTGAGCGAGATAGGTGCTAACCTATAGATTTGTCTCTATTATTTTGTGCTTTCCGCATTTATTTGATAAAGTCGCATCCAGAAATTTGAATGCACATCTCCTTCCTTGTGGTCGAACAATTGGCTAAGCGAATCTCCTGAGTCCGCAAAAGGTGAACAAGGCGGCCCATTACGTAAGTGTGTTTTAAAGGATACTGATATGCCCTCGGAAGAACAGATTTCTAAACTTTACAGCAACATGCACATTTTACAAAAGTTTTGAACGAAATTGTGATGATTTCATACAGCTGTAGTTCCTCTTACCCGGAAGTCACGAGGCGGTCTATGTCTGCCGTTGTGTTTAACCAGATCGACGCTGGATGATTTGTTTCGACCACGAATTTCCTTGCCATATATATATATATATATATATGGCATCAGACTATTTGATTGAAACCTCATTAATCTGTACTCGACTACTACTAATATCTGCGTTTCCCCATAAGTCAAAAATAATAAAGAAGACGAAATACTTATTGTTTGGAAAGGTTTTCGGTTCTGTCAGGATGAACGTGTTAATAGAGTGGCAAACCTATGAATAAATAAATGTGAAATCTTGACTTTGCTGTGTGGATGGAAAAGTGATCCTTCAATACCGTCCAACTCTAGGCTTTGCCATTGGTTAACGGAGAGCTTTGAAATTTGATCGACTAATACTAATGTTGGGTCG